TGCTCCCAAGGGAAGTTGCCAGTAGGGAGGCTGTAGACCAGGTCCCCAGGGAGGCGAAAGTAGCGGATTAGAGACCTGAGTCTCTCCGCTGTCATGGAGGAAGGGCCGAAAGTGTCGAGCTCCCTCCCACTAGAAGTAGACGCTACATCGCCAGAGGCCTCCGGGATCTGCTCCCAGGCTCGCCCCGAGCTCGAGGGAGCATCATTGTCCTGATTATCACCCCTGTGGTAGGTGCGATATGGGTACCCAGATATGGCTGACAGCGATTAGGACTCACCAGAGGAGATGGAACGAAGCAAGCTGAGGAATTCGGGTAGACTAGGTGAAGTGCCCGACCTCAGAATCCAAAGACAGCAAGATGGCGTGGGAGAAAATGAGGCCCGAGGGGGCCCCCTATTTATAGTCTCCACCCTTTCAAACTGACGGCCCAGATCAAAGCAGATCCAACGGCCCGCATGCGCCCCGACCGCACGCTTTCTGAAAACCGAAGGCGAGTGGCGGCACATCTTCCATAATTAAGGTAGTCGCAGCCGCACGACGTTCGGAGTTAAAAGCCACCTCAACACGTTTTCGGAATCCAAAAAGTCAGGAAGGTCAGAAAATCTCTTGATTCCCGCAAATGCATTTAAGGAGGACAGTCAATCAAGTTTGAATTTCGGTCAAATCAGTCCATCGCGCTTCATAAACTCCCCGCGCTAAGGCAGTACTCTTAGCTCGAGGAGTGGGGGGCAATTGATGAAGGATGATTTGACCCAACCTATGAAACGGTGACACCTAAACGCTGACTTGGCGAGAGCGACAGCCCAGCGTCGAAGCCCGGCGCGACCAAGTGACGGGCCCACGAAGCAGTCCGCTACGATACACGTGAGTGCCAGCTAGGAGTGACCAGATCGCGCCGCATCACTTCCGGAAGAAGAAAACCCTAGCTAGAGGGAAATCTCTCTCCTTCCCACGCCTCCCAACAGAGAGAAAAGTGAATCGATCACTCCGGGAGGCCTAGAAAATTTCAGAAACCAAACTACCCTCTTCAGAAAATCAAAAGAAAACTAACAATACTTGGGCGCCCAAGATCAGATCAAAAACAAAGAGTCCAACTTTTCTGGGACTCTTCCCCATACTCCAGTTCTTCCTGATTTTGATGTCGAACAGTAGATCACCTTCTTGATGTCTAGATCCCACCAAAAACTCCA